CAACGTCTTTAATGATCTCCATCGTTGAGTTGTGCGGCCCCTGCAATGGGTTGTCAAACCCACATGAGAAGTAGAGGGCACGGTGAGAGGGCGGTTGGTGTCAACATTTGTAAGGTTACTATGACTGACCTCCACCTCGTAGCCACTGGCCTTGGGCAGCTGAGGCTGAAAATGATCCTCCTCCCCCGCATGAGGCTGGAGGACGTCAGACGTGAGCTCTACACTTTTATACCAAGTTACCTGTTGCTTTATCTCCTATGTCTTAAATTCTTTAAAAAGTCCTTTCACGTAACCTCCAGAGAAAGATGAGGCTGTCAGCACTCATAAAGATTTAGTCAGACAAACCCTGTCTGGAGTCACTGTGAGCCAGAGTGGGAGAAAAATGAGGATTTCTACCCCTATAAAAATTACCGTCTGGGAAACCCACAGGACCCATTCTATCCTGTTCTTCTGGGTCACTGAGAGTCAGAATCCACTCGAAGGCAGCACATTTGAGTTTTAATGAAAGGAGATTTCCCGTGACCAAGAAGCAGGCAGCCACATCCAATCAGTGGATGCACTTAGGAGCAAAACCTGAGGTTTTGCAGAGGCAGGGATTTTGCCTCAAGACCAAAAACCAAACTCACTGCCATCAAGTGGATGCTAACTCGTAGTGACCTCCAGGACATGACAGAACTGCCTCTGTGAGTTCCAAGATGATAACACTTTATGGGAGTAGAAAGCCCTTTCTCCCAAGGGGTGGCTGGTGGTTTTGAACTGCTGACCTTGCAGTATACCTACTATGCCACAGGGCAGGGCTATAGGCAGAAATCCTGCCTGAGTTTGCCGCCTGCTGTCTGGCCCTTTGGAATTCAGACCCAAGACTGTAACACCAACTCTTTTGTGTGATTCCAGCTAAAGCTAGAGCTAAATCTAAAGGGTTGACTCACCAGCCTTCTCAATCTCCTGGGCCGATTCCCTTCATATTCCAGGCAGGAGAAATGTAGTTTTGTTCACCTGACAGAGCTTATCGTATTCTAGATGCTGGGTACTGTTTTACATAACTGAAACAGTTGTAGTGACAGCCGCGATTAAATGTTTCATACACGAGACATATGACACAGATATCATCGATAACATCTTGGCTCTCAATTTCTCACGGGAACGAAAAATCTCAGGTGATAGAAAACCCTCCATGGATTGTCTAATTTTCCTGATATTCAGACTATATTCTTCATCCCGTGTGGTAGACACTTCCTCTCTTTTCAGAAGGGCTTCCCTAAGTCTTAGCCTTGGTACCTGTGGGTGGAGTCCTAATCGCAGAATGACAAGCGGCTGGCTTTCCTTCGAGAAAATGGTATTGAGATGCTGCTCTTCATTTTTGAGCTTCCAAAGCTGTGCTTTCAGGCTACCTCAGCATGGCAGCTGTGCCTGCCCCAAATGGACGGCTGCCATCTCTTCGGTCACATCAGTTCTGAGTGGCATTCATCAGGCCAGTCCCTCTGTGGTTAGCATTTACTGGGTACCCCCAAAATAGCTGTTCTTTCCCTTAGACCCAGTGACTCAAAACAAGTTACCAACTACTGGGTCTGGAAATTGTTCGCCTGACCAACCCTGCACACGGCTCTAGAATCATCCAGAACTTAATCCTCTTACAGCCAGAACACACCCTCATAAAATGAAAGGCAGTTTACATCCCGAGTAGCTCCTATTCTGGGTGATGAGAAGCTCTGAAAACATGAGCCTTAGAAGTGCCCACCTGGTTATGCCTAGAACACTCGTTGTTGTCTTGAACAGCACGTTAGATACTTCTGGCTTCCTATGCAATGTATAAAGATTAAATGTGGATACAGGTTACACATTGCGCATGTGGTTAATGTGAGGTGCTGTCAGGAAATGCTGATGATGGCAACTCTGTGTACAAAGGAACCGACTACCTACTTCTGTGCCTTTTCATAATTGTTAGGCTTGAGCCAGTGTTGCCGTCCTTGCTATCAATTCATCGGACAGGCTTCCTCTTCTTCACCACCCCTGCACTTTCCCAAGCAGGATGTCCTTTCCCCAGGACTGGTCTCTCCTGATGACATGTCTGAAGTACATAACAGACGGACCGTTCTTGCCTCTAAGGAGCCTTCTCGCTGTCCTGCATTCCAGGGTACTTTCAATATCCTTCACCACAATTCAGATGCAGTACTTGTCAGTGAGCTTCCTCATTCGTCATCCTACTTGGAAGTAAGTGCATATGAGGCGACTGAAAACACCACGGTGAGGTGCCCGTAGGCTTCTTCACTTGACAGCCTTGTACTTCAATACTTAAGGAGGTCTTATGCAGATTTCCCCAATGCTACATATAAACTCACTGCCATCGAGTGGATTCTGACTCATCGTGACTCAGGAAGACAGGATCGAATGGCTCCTGTGGGTTTCCAAGGCTGTTAACTCTTTATGGGAGTAGAAAGTCCCGTCTTTCTCCTTGTGCTACACACAGTGCCTGGGAAATTTGATGTGGTGGTCCTAGAAACTTCTGAATATTTGCTGGTTTACTTAGGCAAAGAGAAATTAAGGAAAATAATTATTTTTTGTTTTTCCTTTAAGACATATTAGAAAATTAACAAGACAATCCACCTCACCCCAGCTTATTATTCATTTTAGCTCAGTTTCTATTTCCAGTTCCATTATTTTTCTGATTAAACTCAGAAGATACGTGTGTGTTTGGAAGTTCAACTTTCCCAGCGGCGGGCCACAGAGATGACTGCTCTTTTCTACATTTACAACTTTGTAAATTTTACTAAAATAGAAAATAAGGCGCTCTGGCTGCTAAACCTGATTTTATTCTCCTGCTGTGTGCGCTTTTCTTAACATGGTCTCCAAAATACCAAGAGACTTCAAAGAGTGTGTGCACAAGGCCCTATCCCGTATTCCCACTTCCCCACAGACTCTGGAAGGCCCCTCACGCTCTTAAATTCTTCCTGTTAATCGATGATCACAGCACTTTTTCTTTTGATGTTGACCACTGAGACCTCTGGGTGGTGTAGGGTGTGCTAGTAACTCCCCACTGGGGGAACTAGAGCGACAGTCAGTCACGTCTGAATGTCTAGCTCGAAAGAGCATGGACTTCTCAGGAACAACAATGGAAGTAGCTATACCATGAAGGCAGGGAGAAGGGGGGGGGCGGTAAGGGGGAACTGATTACAATGATTGATGTATAACACCCCCCCACCGGTTACAAACAACAGAAACATGGGTGAAGGGAGACAGTGGATGGTATAAGATATGAAAATAATAATTTATAATTTATCAAGGGTTCATAAGGGTGGAAGGGTGGGGGAGGCAGGAAACAAATGAGGAGCTAATACCAAGGACTCAAGTAGAAAGAAAATGTTTTGAAAAGGATGATGGCAACATATATACAGATGTGCTTGACACAATGGATATATGGATTGCTATAAGAGCCCCCAATAAAATTATTTTTTTTAATGTGGAATGCTTTATTGGTTTAAATAAGGCTGAATGTATTTATGTCTGCTTCTGGACCCTATTCTGTACAATTTGTTGGTTTTTCTTTTGCATTAATACCATATTATCTTACTTAAATGTTTTCTACCTCGAAAGAGTAAGCTCTCTGTTCTACATGAAAAGCATCTTTGCATTTCCATATCAAATGCACAATAGGCCTGCCAATTTTCTGTTTTTCCCTCTCACACACACTTCCTGAGATTTTGGTTGAAAATACATTAAACCTTGATCAGCCATGGAAGAAGTGACATTTTTATAATACTGAGTTTTCCATTCTATGAACACAACTAACTTTCTCACAAAAGTATTTCATCAATTTCCTGGCGGCAATCTTATGATTACTGTTAAATCTATTACTAGGTGTTAATTTTGAAGCTCCTCCTAAGTGGTATTTTTTAAATTGCACTTTTAAAATGATTGTTAAAAAATGTTGTTATAAAATATAATTGTTGACCATTTATCTTATAGTCATTAAACCCATTAAATTCATTTGCTGATTCTAATAGTGTACCTCTAGCTTCTTTTGTTTTCTATATGCGCAGTAATGTGCGTATTTTCTATATGCACAATAATGCCATCCGTAATTTCTATTTAAAATTGGTTTTAAGAATTGATTCACAGTACTCTAGCCTCCTACAGCCAGAAAAATAATTACTTTTCTTGTTAGATATAACCAAGCCAAAAGTGATCCCAACGAAACCGAGTGCCGCACAGTGGATCCTAAATCATTGCGATCCAAGAGACAGAGTAGATCTACCCACCCCCCGCGGGGTCTCCAAGGCTATCGAGCTGCATGGAAGCACAGATTTTTCTCCCGAGAAGAGGCTGCTTGGTTCTATCTGCAGACATCTCATTAGCAGCCAAGCATTCTAACCAGTTATGCCTTTAACAGCCGGGATGCCTTGTGCTAGATATGAAATTTAGTGTATTAGGTAGCAATGGTTTGTATGACATTGGAACCACTGGACAATTTAGCTCTGGTGTCAGTGAAAACACTCCAATCCATCAAGAATGAGCTCAGCAAACACTCCTTTTCTGCCACTGTCCTTTCATCCGCAACCCCCACACCCCCCCACCACCACCCCCACGCACCCAGAGCAAAGGACGCTGGCTTTTGGCTTTCTCATGTCCATTTCTCTTTTCAAATATGAATGAACAAAGAAATACTTGTGGAAGTGATACATTTTATTTGACTCTCTGAACATTACATTCTTCTGATGATATCACCCTGGATGCCTCTCATTCAACTTCTCCTGGAAGATTTCTTCTTCCCACATTCTTATTCTCTCTCTCAAATTCTCCCGCCTGCAATTACCAAGAAGTCGCCAGTGTCTAGGCTAACTCGCTCCTTGATGACAAAACGTCCGCTGCTTTCAGGGACATCCCTGCAAAGGGGAGCCCAGACTGGCTCCATCACATCAGAAGCCGAGGAGATGGGAACCAGCCCCATCCACCCATGGTCGGACCCCAAGGCTGGGTGCGAAATAAAGGAGCGGAGCCTGTGGTTCTGTCCTCAGCAATATTTATTGGACACAGCAATGCTGCCCATGGTAAGAGTTTATACATTAAGCAGGGAGGTTTGCCTTTCACGCCACGTGATCCACTACCGCAGGAGGCACATCTCCGAAGCAGCACATGAAACCTTTGAGAGTCTGTACAGCTAGATAAATAGAACTCTGGGCTACAAACAGGGCGTCAGGGACTGGTACCAAAGAAAACACAGAGACAGGTACGCACAGCACTGTACGCGCACTAAAACGAAGGAAGGCGGGGTGGGAGGGAGAGAGGTAAAAGTCAACAACTGAATTGAGGGGAGAGGTTTTGCATCCGCAGCCACATGTCTTCAACTGCTAAGCACGAAAAGTCTCTTTATTTGGTCCTCATTGAGGGCAGAATATGCACAAATGATGCTCAAAGAACACAAGGTCAAAGTGGACAGGAGAAAGGTTACTGGTTCTTGGTCTGTGAACTAGGGGGAGGGGGGAGGGGGGTGGTTTCTAGTGTTTTTGTTTTCTTCTTCCTGTGTCTCTGTACCAAACGGATCATGAGACACAATTAATAAATAAACGTGAGGTGAAGAGAATCGTTCCCTTTTCCTTGTACCCTTCAGATTTTCTTTCTGTAGAGAAAGAACTTTAAGCTTCGAAACCAGATCTCTTCCCAAATCCTCCTCAGGAAGAAGTTTTTTCTTTCCGGATGTTCCTCCCATAATACGCTGATACTTAGAAATGAGAAGGGGACTCCCTAAGCCCAGTGACAGCAGGCGCGAGAGACAGACTGTTGGCACCTCAGAAACAGGCGGACGCGAGGAAAGCACAGGAGACTGCTTTCAGAGGCAGCTTTGAGCCCAAGCTCAACACTGCTACCGATACAGCAAGAGACCAACTCAGTCGAACCAGAAGCCGGTTTGCTGGTGAGGGAGACTTTCTTTGACAATGCTGTGACTCACAAGTCTGGGAGGGGAAATGAGAAAGCAGGGACCTTCTCCTCTTTACATGGAGGACCTGAGACCTCAAGGTGGGCTCCAGGTGATAGATGGTATCTTTAAGGGGATGGTTTTTATGATGTGGCTCACAGTTGTTTTGTACGAAGCCACTGCCTCCTGAGAGCTGGGTGCACAGTAGTTCTGTGACTACTGGCTGGTCTCGGATGGTGTTTAAAAAGCACATGCCATCCCCACCAGGCTAAGAAGATACCATCCATCACCATGACCCTTGTGGGATTGCACAAGTCAACCAGAGATACTCGGTGGGGCTTGATGACTTGGACCACTGCGGTCTGCACTTGGGATGTGTTGTAAGCAGCATTACCAAAGCAGTGGTTAACTTAACTATCCGGGCCAAGAGGAAGTGAGCCAGCCAACATGACATCCTAATGGGGCAGGGCAACCAAAATCTCCACATAATTGATGGGGAAGAAGCCAGACTGGCCGTGCAGCATCCCCTCATACCAGTTCTCATCAATTTGGTTGGTGAGCGTGATTATATCACCCTCTTTGAAACCCAACTCCCCTTCATTTTCAGGTTCAAAGTCGTACAGAGCTCGGCAGCAGGGCTGATCCATCTGGACACCTGGGGGTCAGGGGAAGAGAAGAACACAGAAGGACAGGGCTGTTTAGCGCCACAGTCAACTTCCTGCCACACCCACCTAGCCAACTGGGCCTCCTTTTTGCCCCTCCTCTTCCTGTGGCAGCTCCCCTTGTGAGGAGAGCCCCACACCAGACACAGGACCAGAAGTCTTTAGACACTCGCTCAGGTGGTTGGAAGTTGCTCTTTCCAATTCCAGCATGAAAAATAACCACATTCACCCTCTGGCCTAGAACAAGAGGAATTTAACGTGGTTACCACCCAGCTGACACCCAGAGCTGGGAGACCCAACTGCTACAGGAGTTCAGTGAGATCAAGGTTAAGGATTCTGAATGGCCTGAAGTCTTTCATGTCAGCACTTTAACATATCTGTGTTGGACATACTACCACAAATTACATGGACAGCGCTTTGCCACCTGATGACGGTTCAGTTGCCACTTTGAAAGAGATGATCGTTACAAGCTCCTGGGGCAGCTGCAACATGGTGAATGGCAACACTGGGTTCAAGCCTTATTCTGAGTGACCCTAGGACAAGGCACACCAGCCTCAGTTGCAGCTTCTTTGTCTGAAATAGGCAGTGGCAGCAGAACTTCCTGCACAAGACTAGCTGGGATTATGAAGCAGTATTGTGTGACTAATCAGACAACTTACACATGGCTGGTGGGACTGTCCGGTAAGCGAACCACAAGGCGGGTGGTTCAAACCCATCAGCTGCTCTGCAGGAGACAACTGAGGCTAGCTGTTCCCATAAAGACTGTCCCCATGTGTCAGATTTGACTTGACGGCAGTGGCTTTGAGTTTTGTGAAAATGCTGATGGATTAATATGAGGAGCATGTTGGATTTATGGGATAAAAGTCACCTACTCTACCTTAAGTGAACCAATGAATGCTTAACCTGTGTCTTAAAAGGGATCTGCTTATAATGAGTCACCCTTGGTAACCCGATTGGCTGTTAGGCACAAGGTTGTGGATCCACCCAGGGCACCTCAGAAGAAAGGCCTGGTGATCCACGTCGGAAAGGTAAGGCCTGAAAGACCCTCTGAAGCCACTGTTTTCTGTCTCATGCAGAGTCACCATGAGTCTGACTCAACTGGAGGACAACTGGCCAGTTCCTTTAAATGACCACTCGCTTAACTCATAGCATGCATGTGTGTCTGCATGCAAGGGCCTAAAGCTCTCAGGCCAGTTCACTTAAGGGTTTGAAAAAGCAACAGGGTCACAGATACTGTTTAGACTTAGGGAATGTAGAAAATCAACATGTCTCCAAATGAGACATCAATATGAGCCTGGTTGCTGGGCAGGGAAAGCCCCGCTGCGGACGACATGAATGGCTCCCGTTTGAAGCCAGCATAGTCCAAGAGCCTGCTGCTTGCAACAGCAGGCCGGGGCTCTGGGCAGTGGGCCTCACCCGGCTGTCTGAGCTGGGGTCTCCCCTGCTGAGGCTCCAAGAGCAATGCTGCAAATGTGCCTCGGGTGAGGAGCAGCACTGGGATGCAAGGAAACAGAGGACAATGGCCCATCTTTGAATGTCAGAACCAAGATAAAACAGCTGCATCAAGCGCATGCTCAGGTTTAGAAAGGTTAAACACAAGCTTTGCTCTAGGTGCAGGCCTACCACACGAACGCACTGCAGTGTGTGTGCCAATATTCCCGACCGAAACACATGTCTGTGGCAGTTACATAATCTCCTGTCAACTTGAGCAAGGGGGTGGAGTCTAGCCTGTCAATCAGATCATAGCCAATGAGGGCTCTATATGGGCATGGCCTTCTCCTGAGGATTCCGGAAACTCCTGTCTTTCTCCCTGGAGGTGGGACACACACTCTGCTTCAACTTCATGTGACAAGCCACATGCAGCCGCACTGATGGCAGCCAGAGCCCTGGAGATTTGTCCACCACCATTAGATCTACAGGACTTTCCACCCAACGGCTGGTGATCTTCCTGCATTTGGATTCGTTCCATATGCGGCATGAGTCTGAAGAGGAATTCATGGGCTATTATCAAACTTATGGGCTAATATCGGACGTATGGGCTTGATCAGGACAGGGCTGGTATGTTTTCTTAATATATAATTACTCTTTAAAATATATATGTATGCACATGTATGTGCGTGTGAGTTAGTTAATTGTGCCAGCCTGGCCAATAATCACATGTGGGGCTGGTTGAAAGGCAGAGGGATAAATGGGTGGTGAAGCCTCGCCTTTCGAGTTCTCGGCTCTCTTGCTTTTTGATGGTCGGGCCAGGGTGCAGCTGCCTTAGTCAGTTCCCTGCTTCAGCTTGCAAGGTTGACTTCCTACAAGACATCCCCAAGGAGAAGCTACATGGACCTATCCCGATGCAGCCCTGGGTGCTGGAGCAGCCGTGTGGAGACCCCTGCTAGTGCTGAGATGCTTGTTCATTCACTGACTCAGCTTTCCTCCTGCAGTCGGCATCATTGCCTCTGTTTTGTGAGGTGGAGGACTTTGTGGACTGGTGTTGGGTTAATGGGTTAATGTTGGACTTGTGGGCTTGGGCAGCATTGGGTTGGGATGTTTTCGTGATGCACATTTTCTTTACATAAAACTCTCTCTTATACATGAGTTGCTGTGGATTTGTTTCTCCAAAGTACCCAGACTTATACAGCGTGTGTGTGTGTGTGTGTATACATATAATATATATAATTATTCCTTGACATAAAGCTCTCTTTACACATACACACACACACACACACACACACACACACACACACACCCTGGATTTGTTTCTCTCATCCACACGGACTAACACAATGTTCTTTTCTCCACCTCAGCCTTCCAGCACAGCTGGGGGGCGGGGACAGGAAACCTAGCAGGGGCTGAACTCCAGGCATCATCATCTTGCAAACACACTCAGAAACTAGGACGCATGTATTCCTGGAGCTGGTATGCGGGGGCTGCACCAGAGGCCCCCAGAAAGTGCACAGCCATATCTCATTATCTTTGCAAGATTTTTCTATGAGCCTGTGAAGTCCCCTTGCACGTGAGCGTACGTGGGCACCCAGGCGCCCAGGGCATCCCTGTCCTGCATGCAGGGTTCATGGAAGAGAAAGGGAAGGAAAACGCACGCAAGCTCTGCAGCACCAGCCTGATGGGTGAAGGTGATTTACACCCCAACGGAGAGTCCACAAGCAAAGGTCAGTGTGAGCTGAAGGGGGCCTGCCAAGAGTTCATAATGACGAGAGGGAAAAAGAGCAGGGGCCCCTTAAAAGAGTGTCTAGCTGACTGTCGGTCCTGTACGGAGTATGTTGTTGTTGTGATGTGCAGTCCAGCCAGCTCCCACCCACTGTGACCTTCAGCCTGACAGAACAGAATGAAACACCCAGTCCTTAATTGACCTAGAACTCCGGAGAAGTTTGCATGAGACCCGCTGCAGGCCCAAGTCATGGGGTTTTTAGGCTTGAGCCACTCACCTGAGGGTTTTGGGGTGCCTGTGTTGGAGAGGCCCCCGTTGGGCTGCACACTATCCATAGGTGGCAACTCCAGGCTCATTCGAGGTTTGGGCTGATATTCCCTTCGAGGCTGGGAGGAAGCTTGCCTTATCCTGCATTGGAAAACAGGGAGGAAAAAGGATTCTATCAATAATTAAGGAGAAAGACAAACACTCCAGGCCAGGAAACCCTCCCAACACCCACCAATCTCCCATTAGAGACCCTGGGCAAGGAAATGGAAAAGGACCCTTCATTTCTTCGTGGGCAGCTGTGCTGACCTCTGGTGACATCCCTTTATGATCACACCTCACTGTCTTCACCTTGCTCTCACTGTCTACCTCATTCATTCACTGCTCCCTATGAGAAGATGTCACCAGGCTAGGTGCCAGGTAGGCAAAAATGCCCTCATGTTGCTTATGGTCTGTAGGGGAGACAGCCCATAAACTGGAGCGAACACTGTCACAGAGCCATGGCACTGTGCTGGAGAAACACAGGGTGGGGGCTCAGGGGCAGACCCCTCCCCATGGGGGAAGTTAAAGGAGGGAAAGCTGGGGGGCAGTGGGTCCTGATGGACATGTGGGTGACAGCCATTCTCTGGAGAGCATAAGGAGAAGGTATGGAGGACCCACCATGTGCCCTGGCACAGTGAGCAGGCTGAGACACTGGGAGGGACAGGGGCCAAGACAGGAGGAAGGTAGAAAGGGATGACCAGAAGTGGTTGTACTACGTATGCATGTCAGTTTCTGGTATCCATTAAGCCCGCTAGATGATGGGTGTGCAAGGGTAGGGAGAGTTCAGGGATGGGGACAACAGAATGATACTGACTTTGAACGTATTTCAGAAGATGAAAATTAGGATAGCTCCTGAATGAGCAACAGTCCTATCGATAGATCTCGTTTGTTCTTTGAAGTGGATGGTGTGCAGCCTTTCTGGGGGCTTCAGAGAGCAGCTCACACTTCCCCGACAACGTCAGGGTAGCTGGGAGGAGGGGGAAAGGCTGGTGAAGAGGCTCCCAGTGGCCCAGTATGACTGGCCTGGAGTTTTCCTTAGGCACAGGGCCATCTCATCAGCATGGTAAGAACAAAGCCTGCTCCAGGGGTCATGCAGTGGACAGGTGCTGATGAAAAACCCTTGGCTTAATCTAACGGGTCAATGAAGAAACATGAGTTGTATGGCAGGGCACAGTGGGGCCCTGTCCCCCAAGGAAGCAACCAGAGTCGGGGCCACATCTGTGGAGGTGGGATGTGCATCTGGGAAGCACAGGTATGAAAATGTTCAAGGTTGACTATGTGAATCCCCATGTGGCCCTGGGCTGCGTATGCAGCAACCCCGAGCCAATGTAGGTGAGGCTAAGAATACTTTGCTCACGGGGCTGTCAGAAGGTTCATGATGACATACAATTAGCATCAATGCAGAATATCTGCTCAGCAAATCATGTTCGTTATCATTAGCATTCGAGTAAAACCAAGATCCCACAGAACAAAGCATGTACAATATGACACCAAGATTCCCCACCCACCAGGTCCCTGTCTAGGATCAGCAGACATCCCGGGAACACATTGTCTCCAAAGGGAGTCTCCTGTTTCCATGTCTTTACACACTGTCGTAGTGCGACAAAATGCAAATATGCAAAGCACCGCGGGGAGTTGCACAATACCTTTCTTCCAGCCGAACGGTGACCTGCTGAAGCACCTGCACCGCCTGCTTGTGGTACTCCAGCTGGGCTTGCACGAGCGCAGAGAGCTGGCTGACCTGTTCAATCTGCAGATCAAGAGGGGACACACCTGAGTGACCAGGCTACCACCCTGACATGACCACTGCTGCTCAGGATGTGTGACCGAGCAGCTTGACACAGTCCGCGGCTCAGCGGCGCCGTGGGTCACAGTGGGCAGAGGCAGGCTGAGCCACAGAGCCCTGCAGTTTGCACATGGAGGACGGTCAAGAACGCTTGGCAACACCAGCAGCATGAGGAGCAGCAGCTTTAGGAAGAGCAACTCTCCCCGACCACCTCCGCACCAGACTTGGGCTTCTTGCCCGGAGTGCCGTCTCCCCATGCACGCAGAGCTCATACTGCTGGTGAGCGTCACCGAGCTCTCCCTGACTCTTTCCAACCTCGTACACGACGTAATCCAACAATCCAACGGTGCCTGGCCCTGTTTCATCCGCGTGATGGCGGTGATCCCTCTGTTTAATTTCTAAATCCCTCGGAAATCCCGGTTTTTATTACATTGCACTGTTCCTAAGAGTTGTAGATCCAAATGGTTGGGGGAGGGTAATTGGGATTGGGGCGGGGGCAATCCATAAGGTTTAAACTGATTTATATCCAGATCACCAGGCCTTTCTTCCTAATCAATCTAGAAGCTTAGTTGACATGTTTTCAGCATCAGAGCAATACACAAACCACTGACGACAGAAGGAGGGCGGCTAAACTATCTTTATCCTGGTGCTGCAAAGAAAAACTGAATACTGACTTTATCACACAGGAGGCAGGCTGATGTGGTGGAAAAGCTTCTCTCTGAGCCTAGTCTGTAACGTCAGGGGGCTGGACAGCAACATTCATGGATTTTCTCCAGCTCCGACACTCTAGGCGCTACTGCTTAGTCTTCCTTTTGTGATGGGGTTGTGGTCTAGCTGAGTAGTAGCCTCAAAGTCAGCAGGGGCAAGGCTGTTCATGGAGTACTAGGTGGGAGGGGCATGGAGCGGGAAGGAGCTCGGCGATGTGGGTTGCGTCCCATGCCTGCAGTACTCCTGTTCAGAAGTGACACCAGGTTGTTTCATGAATACATTCCCAAACTCAAACACCCACCCCCAGTGATGTCCCCAGGTAAAGCAGAAACGATGCACTTCCCCGGGGATGACCACACAGGACAGGGGAGAACTGCCCCTGCCGGTTCCCGAAACTAAAACCCCAGGAGCAGAAAACCTCACCTTTCTCCAGCGGAGCAGTTTCAGACTGCTGAGCTATTCGACATGCCTCCCGTGATACCAGTCAGGGTCAAGGCAGTGAAGCAATAACTGCATTGTGGTTGCTCTTAGGTGCCAGGGAGTCCGTTCTGGCTCACAGCAACCTTCTGCACCGGCGAGAAGACACTGCCCAGTCCCAGTCCCTCACAATGGTTGTTACAGCCGATCCCACTGTGGAAGATGCTGGGTCTTCAGTTCACCGGTGTCAGGTTCCTCCTCTTTTTCATTAACCTCTACTTTACCAAGCACGACACTTCCTCTGGGTCTGGCCCCTCCTGATAACATGCTCAAAGTCAGTGAGCTGAAGTCTTATCATCCTTGCCTTTAAGGAGCATTCTGGCCGTTCACCTTCTGAGACAAACTGGTTCATTCCTTCGGCAGTCACGGCATACTCCGTTTCCTTTGCCAGCCTCGGACTCCAGGGCATCCGTCCTCCTTCTATATGAGCACAGCAGCAGGAGCTGACAGTGACGGAGAGGGGCGGGGAGGTGGGGGTGAGCAAGGGCACGACTGCTGGCTAATGGGTCTTATTGCCTCAGTGATGAAAATAAAACAAAACCAGCAACTGTGGACTGACTCCAACACCAGAGGGCTCGTCATCAGAATTTGATCACCAGGTCTTTCTTCCAAGTCACCTTTGGATGGACTCAAACTTCCAACCCTTTGTCGAGAAGTCAAACATATTAGTGGTATGTAGCATCCATGGACTATGTGAGTGGAAGAGAAATCATCTTCATGGCTTTGAAGCTTTAAGATGCCAAAGAATGTAACTTCTGAAAGTCATAATCATTTAGCACTCCGGAAATCTGACAGCATCTTTTGAACTCTCTTAACTGATGTACATAGTTTCTGTGCTCCATCTCAATGAAGCAAAGCTGTAAACTCACTGCCATCCAGTCAATGCCAACTCATAGCCGCCTCACAGGACAGGGTAGAACTGCCCCTGTGGGTTGCCAAGGCTGTAGCTCTTTATGGGAACAAAAAGCCTCATCTTTCTCCCTAAGAGTGGCTGGTGGTTTTGAACTGCTGACTTTGAAATTAGTACCTGTGGTAGTTACATCATTGTATGTCAACTTACATATATGTAAAAGTATAGTGGTGGTATTCAACCTGTCCATCAGGTCACAGCTTGAGGGTGTCTTCTTGTGGGCATGGCCTTCTCCTAAGGAGGGCCCTGGAACCTCTGCCTTCACTTTTCTGCTGGCTGACCCTGGTGGCTCCCAGAGCCCTGCCATATTACCCCCGCCACTGGCTCCACACAACGTTGCACACACTGGCCTCTGGTCCTCCTGCATGTTGCTTCATTGCACGTGACTGCGTGAGTCTGAAGAGGGAATCGTGGACAAGTATCGGCTTTATGGACTTGAGGAGGGCTGGGCTGGGATGTTTTCTTGCTATACAATTACTGCTTGATACAAAGCTCGCCCTTACACATGTAAGTGTGCCAATGGATTTGTTTCTCTAGTTAACCCTGCCTGACACAGCAACCCAACAAGTCACTAGTCCACCACCAGGGCTCTCGTATATCTCGTTAGAAGTTACCTATTGAACGATAAGGTCAACCTGACTTCTAAATACGAAACATCTTATTCTACCCTGGGAGCTCAATTCTGGATGCATTTCAGCTGATGTTTGCAGACAAGCTGAAGGCATCTGTCCTGCGTTTCCCGAGTCTTTATACAGGGGACGAGGCTTCGACCCGGATCATCAGAAACACTCCTGAGCTTCCCACCGCTGGTAATTCTTTAAAGCCCATCAGTAGGCAAACGTTCTGCTCCCTCCAACTACAGGCCTGCAGAAAAGGCTTGGCCATTTCTGAACCCACTGTATCATCTTCATCTTAATCCTACTTCAGCCTCCTGGTTCTCACCACTTCATGTAACCAGGTAAGAGTATTTTAATTACCCCGCCCTTTCACACATTCATCTTGTGTCTCAGGTGGCAAGACTAGATGAAAAACCGCAGGAGAGGCACTCACGTCCATTTCCAGCAGGTTGAACATGCTGGACTCGGCGATCTCTTTGGACTCGTCAAACTTCTCCAGGGCTTGACGGAGCTCCTCATCGGGAATCTTGCCTTGTCGCTTCTTCTTGTAATCGAAGTCCAGGCGGCGCCCCTCGAGCTTTTTCAGGTGATGCTGAAAGAGTCAAGGATAGGAACGTGCTCTGAAAGGCCTGATGGAGAGAAGGCCCCCGGCAGCATGGCTTCTCCATTGTGCCCGTTCACTTCCAATGTAAGCTGGGCTCTGTTTAAGACAGGCTGCCACTGGAGAAATAAGGGCAAGCACAAGAATGGGACAATCGCTTGCACAGGCTGAAAACGTTTGAAGAACGAGAATGCACCCGTGTGCAAGAGCAACCCCCTGCCCTTCCTGATCTTGCCGGGCACAAAGCAAGCTGCACTCTAACTCCCATGCCACAGCAGAAGCTGGGAAGCCTGCACGCTGCAAGCCACATGCAGAGAGGACACGTGCTGGGGGCCCAAGAGTCTCCATCTCAGGAGACGACACCTCTTAAGAAGGCAGGTGGCCAACACTTCTCATGAGACAAATGGAGAGAGAATGGCGTTGTTGCTTTTAGAATCAAAGAATGTGGACGCTGGGAGAGCTCTGTGTGGGGGACATCAGTCTGCCAGAATCACCTAACCAAACCTTTAAATTCTTAATCTCGGTTCATGATCACCTGAATCAGATCATCTAGATCGGGGGCTCAGGTCAGTGAAAGACTGAATATGGGGGACAGAGGAGCTGTATTTGTGGCCTCAGGCTGCCTTGCTGGGCTGCTGTGTAATTCATGTGCCCAGAGGTGACAATATGCATGGTGAGTTAAAACTGGTTCCTTGCCCTGGCCTCTCTCTGAGAGAAACCACTCAGCAATCAGAAGATTCACTGCAGATACCTGGATTTCCCTCAGATCTTTGTCATGGAGGTTCTGAAGAGGGTCAATGAAGTTCTGTTTCACTTCCATGTCCAATGAGTCTTTGACCTCCGAGAGCTCCCGCATGGCCTCCCCAACGTCACCCAGCGCTGGGCCTGGAGGAAAAGAAGGGCACTCATTTAGAGAAGAGGACAAAGATGAAATGCACAGACCATGAGGGCCCTCGTCAACGAAAACCCAAAGATTCCTGGGTGTATTCTGAAGGCAACTGAGACAAAAGAGTACAAACAGCCTTCAGAGAACGGGGCCCGTTCTGTGTACAGCCGTTCACCGTGGGCAACAGACCTCACATCTCCTCAGAAGGTCCATTCCTTGTAGCAATGAAAGGAACATTTTGCTTCTTTCCCCAAAAAGCAATGTGGAAGGTGACAGTTTCCCCAGGAAGAGAGTTGCTACCAGGGAGATGTGTTCAGCAGAGGCACACCCCTGGGACAGAAAGTAGGGTACTACCAAGAAGGACAGCCATGTACTGTGACCCCATAGGACAAGGGGACTGGGATTTGTAAAAATGAATGTATCATCAGGAAAAAACAAACAAATCCGTAAAGAATAGAACGCTAAAAAAACAAAACAACAACAACAAAAAACCAAACAATTCTAAAATTAATGGCTGGCCCCTGTGTACATGATTTAAAACAGAGTCAAAATATAAAATGGTTTGCCGCACCACCCACAGAATTTCTTAAGGGTCCCAAGACCTCCGCCAACCACACACACACACACACACACACACACACACACACGGGGTCCAGAGACACACACAC